CCCCAAAACCCCAAAACCCCTCAATTATAGATAGAATTAAATTATTAAGAAATTTCAAAATGGAAAATAAGTAAAATCAAAACTAAAAGCAATCTAATTTGCAAAAATAAAGTATATATAGACAATAATTTTAAGTCATTAGGTATTTCTAATCGATATGAGACATCAAAGTAGGCTGAGATAGATGAATAGTAAATATTACTATGATAAAAACTAATAGGGAAGATGTAGAGATAAAAAATTTGAAGAAATCGATATTTTAATTTCAGAAAAAAAATGTGATTCTCATCAATAAAAATACTGCCGACTTTTATTTTGTAAATGAATATCAAATAATTGTATTGATTAGATAAAATTGAGAACTTAGATAAAAGATAGCACTGTTATTCTGATAAATATCTCTCTAAAGCAAGATCAGGATAAATTTGAATTATTGCCAAAATAAATTCGCTTTGACAAGTTTAATTAGGAACAAGTTTTCATAAAAATCAAATAAATAGCACAGACCGACAACTAAGATTAGGTCATTGAATTAGTTCACAGAATTAGTTCAAAGTATAAATAAATTAAATTAGAATTGAAAATAGTGTGCAAGATTATCACGGTTTAAAGGTTACTCTCAAACTATACAGACTTGGCTTTTAGTGCTAAGAAATGTAAAATTTTCATAATAATTTAACCTTTAAAAGATTAGGAAATGGCTAAGATAGTTACTCTTAATTAGCTTGTTACAATCAAAATATAAAGAATATCAGCTGGGATGATAAATAATAGCATATGGTGAGAATGAAATTCACTGATTTATTCAAGCCTGTTAAAGATAATCTTAGAATTATTAGTAAGTAGATGATAATATATTATTTAAAAGTAATTAATGATTAAAATACATTGTGTTTCAGACAAGGATCCAGCAAGAGTGATCTTTGAAAAATAAGATTTAAGAAAAGAGCTACAGATAAGCTTAGCTTAGATTGAATCTGGCAAGCATCATTCAATGGCTTTAACTTAAGATGGCTTGCTCTATGTTTGGGGATTAGGTCTGAATGGCTAACTTGGCTTATCAATTGATTAACATCTCACTTACTAAAATAAGGTCAATGGGTAATTTTTAGATGTTTTGTTAAAATTTCTAGTGAACTTAATAAATATAGACCAGGAAAGATTCTAACAAAATACAACAATGACTATCGGTTCTATGATTAAACTATAATTGAAAATGAAATTTTAACATCAGTGCTTCTTGATAGCTAAATCTTCACACCAATAATATTTCATCCTGAGCCTCTTAAATTTCAAGATAAAATAACTTCCATATCTTGTGGTAATTTTTTAATTAAAATTATTTCGTAGGCTCTTATCATTCATTTGTAATTAACCAGGCAGGGCAACTCTTTGGTTGTGGGTAAAGTTTGAATGGAAAATTAGGAATAGAAGCGGATAATAAAGCAGTCACTCAGTTTATTCATATTAGAGTAGTAGAAAATGGATAAGAAATAAAGTTTAAATAAATCGCCTGTGGAAATGAATTTACACTTGCATTAAGTAATGAGGGTGATATATATTCTACTGGGTCTGGAGAGTTTAACATTCATGGAATAGCATAAACAAGCTGTAGAGCTAGCTTCAAAAGAATTCCCTAAGGCTTCATCAGAAATCAATCTTGTAACGAAATCATTCATAATCTTAATTTTAGCTATTGTACTAATAAATTCAAGCGAAAGAAATTGCGCTGCTATTGACAATGATGGAAGAGCCTATGTGTGGGGAGACAATTCTCATTTTCAATGTGGAAATCCAAATGACATCAAGCCTACTGGAGATGATTTGATTTCAGCATTTCAACCATTTCAAAGGCTTTATGATTAGTTCAGAGTAAATGCAGTTGCGTGCGGAGGGTATCATACTCTCTTCCTGACGAGCGATAAATCTGTTTATAGTTTGGGAAGTAATCAGTATGGGTAGCTTGGACTCTGCTTGTCTGATGATAATTAATCTTATCGTGACCCAATGAAAATAAAGTTCTTTCAAGATAAAATAATTACTGCCATTAGCTGTGGCTCATTTCATTCAATAGCAGTAACAATTGAAGGCTATGCATATTCATGGGGGAGGAATGATCAAGGATAGCTGGGTTAAGGTGATCATGTTTCAACTAAATCAGAATCAAAATAAGGATTGCCTAAATTAATTGAGTCAATTTTGGGTAGAGGCATCATTGGAGTGAATGCTAAATATAATTAGTCATTTTTTTACAGTACGGATACTAACTCTGCCAAAGGTAATGATGATTTATTTCAGATATGGAAATAAAAATTCATTAAGCATGAAGAGGCGCATGCGGTTATGATAAATTATGAGTATAGAAATGAAAAAAGACTAATGAAACTTTAAGAACATAAAATCAATTTTCAAGGTTAATCCAGTAATAAAGTAGGGGTTCAAAGTTAACATAACTAGTCAAAGATGGTAAATGATTCAATCATGAAAAAGCTATAAGATGAAAGGTCAAACTCTGATTAAATTCAAAATCAGCAATAGTTAGAGTAATTTAAGCAGCAGAAAAAGCTTTTGAAATATGAATATATTGCTTTTGAAAATGACAATTGTGAAATTATTGGATTTAAGAGGCAAAATCCTTAAACTAAAAAAACTTATGTGAATTATGCCTCTCAGTTCCCTTTTCAGGGTCTTTCTGATAAAATGACTATAAACAGTAAACCCTAGAATTAAGAGGAGTTTTTGAGAATGCTCTTAAGTTCTTAATCTACAATAACTTAGTTAAATTAGTCGAGTGTAGATTAAAATACGAAATAAAATCAGTAACTTCCTTAATAAACTTTGACTGATAAATTGATATAAGATAATCCATTTGTGTTTTTGATGAACAAGATGAAAGTAGAATAAATGATGATATCTACTGAAAATGAAATTGATGAAGTGGGTAATGAAACAGGAAGGAAAGTTGAGATCCTAAAAGTTGAAAAGGATTTCAGTTTATTTTAAAGAAGAAACCAGTACCCATATGATATTATCAGCAATCCATTTAAGATTAGTCCTAATTGAATTTGAAAATAACATTTTGAAAATTTTGATTAATTACAACAAATTGAATTCTGCTTTGCGGGGTTTTGGGGTTTTGGGGTTTTGGGGTTTTGGGG